TTGCTAACCGAACGATTCTCCGTGGCTCGACCGCTTAAGGCACGTCAGGCTAAATGACGGTTCTGTATAGGATACAGGTTCGATTCCTGTCGGGGGACGAATATTTTGTATGAAATATTATTAATTCTGTTTATTATAAAAACAGAGCATTTATTTAAATATTTGTATCTATAAAAAGAATGTATAAACATAAAAATGTCTTAACATATATATAAGGTAACAAATCCGTTGGTATATAATTGTTGTGACCTTGTTAGGGCCAGGAATAAAAACACAAAGAGAGGAATTGAGTTAAAGAAATATATTAACAGAAACAGTAATGCAGACATATACAAACGAGAATGTTAGAGCAAGAATGTTCGATCCGACTGTCAGAGCTGACTGCTAGAAACTTCCCTCTCCAAAAGGCAGTACCTGCTCCTACTTATAGCTGGGAGGGTCTATGCGTGCGTGGGTAAATTACCATAACAATAATCCAAGTGGATCCTAGTAATGTAAAACATTAAAACTGTTCCACAAAAAGAGCTCATTGTATTTATTATTACAGAGAGAATAATTAATAAACAATAAACTCGAAAATCACCTCTTATAGGGGGAATAGCCTATTTCGGCAGAGCAGACAAAGATATCAGTCGTATGTCTTATCAACCCTGGAGTGGACGGAGTTCGTGTCAGAAAAAAAAACTGTTTTTTTTCTGACACGACATCTATACATACCTGGGTTGATAAGACAGCCGACTGATATCTTGGGCTGCTGAAATAGGGTATTCCCCACATAATTTTGGATTTTTTATTTTTTATATATATATATATATATATATATATATATATATATATATATATATATATATAAGTGGACATTGAAGTCAACACTTAGAGGTGACAGACTGTTTCATGCTAGACGCAATCGTCAGGCCACGAGTGTTGTTTTTTTCTCGGCTATTTATATATACGGATCAGTGGTGCATTGTGGGTAGTTTATTTTGGCGATTATTTTGCCGGATGTCGTTTATTTGTTTATTTATTTAGGTTAAATTATTTTGTTTGTTTTTATTTAATTTTTTTTTTTTTTCATTGTTTTATTTTTATTTCTTATCTTATATATTTATTTATTTATTTTTATTTTAATCGGTGTTTTATTAACGTAGTAAAAATTTGTTTATATCGCTTATTTAATAGTTTTGTTTTGGTTTGGGAAGATAAAGCTATTTATTCAATTTTGAGGGTTGATTGCTGTAGTTTATTCTATTATTTTGGCGGGAGCAGTTTTTAATTTGTTTATTACTTCATTTATTTATTTGGATTGATTATCTTTACTTGTTTTTTCTAACGGTTAATTTATCGGGATCGGTTTATTTATTTATTTGGATTAATTTACATTAATTTATTTTACTTGTTTTTTATTATTTATTTATTATACTGTATATTTTTATTTACTCTTTTCGGTTTTCGATTTTTAAGTAACGTAATATTTTTTATCGTTATATAATAGTTATAATTATGTTTTTCCTCCGATTTTTGGTTTGATATATATATATATATATATATATATATATATATATATATATATATATATGTGTGTCTGTGAGGATTTAGATCTAAATAAACGTATCTGTAATGGCAATAGAAGTAAAATATATGACAAGAGGAAGACATATTCCTTGGTGTTTCTTTGTTTAAGAAACTTTATCAAGGCAAATGCGGAATTTTTTTGTATTCAGCAACCTGTACTTATACAGAAAGAAACAGTAACAGATAGAAAGAAAACATAAGGCAATCCGTTCAAATTTTAAAGTGGAGAAGGTTGTACTTTTATATGTCTACCATTTATTGACACATCTGGTCTCGTGCTTTAATTATATATCTAGAGATACTTGACAAAATCCTGATCTGACGTCTGGAAGTCTGACCGTTTCCCGTTGCCGTTAAGTAGCTTCCCTTTGCCTTTTCTATAGTATTTTCATGCTAATTATTCTGAACAGCTTTCCTATTTCGCTTCTCGACTTCACGAATTTAAGCGCAATATTAGATTTTACTTTTGAAATTGTTAGGCATAAGTTCTGTGTTAACTTTCTTTTCTATCACACTTCCTTTCTGTTGATATCTCTTCCGGTTTCTCACTTTTCAGTCAATTACGATCTCTAGAAATGTAAATATAATTTCAATCATCTTAATCTATCTCCTTGAATCATAGTCGCGTAATGTCCGCTCTCTTTAAAGTTTTCTCGGGTTTTTCATCTCTCCTTACGTCTTAATAGCTTTAACGCCTTGATTAGAAAGAAATATTAGAACTGACTAACAGACCCACAGTGTGAATCCCCGTGTCTATTCAAGAGGCGACTTTGCCCCACGAAATATGCATTCAGTTCACAGAATATAAAATGCAGATTTGAAAAACATCTTGATGTCTCCTTAAATTCTGCGCATGCGTAACCGTTTATCAATCCCTATTTCAGTGTGTAGTCAATCGACGTCACTCCGTTACGTCTTTTGAGACTGTAATGCTGGCGTTTATTTAAATGATTTAATCTATTTTCCGGCTAGAGCTTACCAAATTGTTTTGCAAGCATACACATGGTGGTCTTAAACGGAAGACAAGTTTGTTAGATATATATCTGTCAATAAATAGATATGTGTAGACTGATATAGAGAGTTAGACAGATGGATAGATAGATAGAGATAGATAATAGATACATTGATCGATAGATATAAGCAGACGATTAGATAGATAGATAGATAGATAGATAGGTAGATAGATAGATAGATAGATAGATAGATAGATAGATGAAGGAGAAGATAATGTCCGTAGATAGATAGATATTTGATACATTATTTTTATAGATACAAATATTTAAGTAAATGCTCTGTTTATAATAAACAGTATTAATAACATTTACTGGCCCGAATGTCCGAGAAATTTTCATAGAAAATATTCGTCCTCCGACAAGAATCGAACCTTTATCCTATACGGAACCGTCATATAGCCTGACGGGCCTTAACCGATTAAGTTCGGTTAGTAAGGTCGATTTTATTACTTTTAAACTACAATCTTCCATGAATCTCTCACGTACATTAATATCTGCTCAATGCGTATCCAAATGTAAACAAATAACGTCACACATTATGAAATGGACAAAGCCCGACAATTATTTTAAGACATTTTTATGTTTATACATTCTTTTTATAGATAAACATAAAAATGTCTTAAAATAATTGTCGGACTTTGTCCATTTCATAATGTATATAGATAGATATATAGACAGACATATAGATTAAACCTAGGGGTCGAATACAAGAGTGGGGGAGTCTTAATAATTAAGGAAGTTAAACTTTTCTCAATGTGCAATAAAGGGAAGGGCTCTTGATAAAAGTTGAGTCGGAAAATCATTTAAAATGTAAAAAAATAGAATTCAAACAGAGTCCAGAAAACGACTGTAAATGTCTGGAGAGTGTTTTGACAGGACAGAAAATGCGAAAACCGGCATCCAAAGTCCTATTGGAATTAGCAAAAGATGCCTTCCAAAAGCTAAGTATAATATTAGAAAACAGGTAGTTCTAGGTATGACGATAAACTACATCCGGCAGCAAGACCTCTGATCTGGAGAATGGAGGTTTTTGAAGATCGTGGAACGACCTTCTAATTGCTGTTGTTCCCCGTTCAACTTTGACCCAGTTAGGGTCCCAGCTATGGGCAAATAGTGACCCTTCCCTAAAAATCAAAAAAATAAAAAACTATGAAAGTATAAATCTTTTTAGAAACAAAGAAAAGAGTGAATGCTGGACAAACTTCTTACAGATGAAGAAGAGACTTGAAGCAACAGAAATATTGTTCTACAGAAGGATGCTGAGAATACCATGGACTGTGAGCAAAAACGAATTTCTAGAGACATTGGAAACAAAAAGGATACTTAACAGCAAGAAGAGACAGTTGAAAATTTCTAGGGCACATAATGAGGGCTTGGAAAATTTGATACGCACAGGACAGATTAAAGGCAGATCAAAAACAGGGAGTTGTGGAGAGCTATGATCGCCAACGTCGTGAAGGGATACGGCACATAGAAGAAGAATGTTCACCTTGGATAAAGAAAGGTGGCTTCAAATTATAGACGCATATCTTCTTTTTTATTTTATGGTTAATGCGTTGGAAAATCTGCGCAAAATAAATTAAATCTTTTCTCTTGTTCGGTTTAAGCAGAAGGTGAGAAACGTGCTATTCCTATAAACATGTACTGTGATAGAGAAAGATGTTTTCAAAAACGTAAGTAAAGTATTGTAAAACAGAAGCATTTTGTTAGAAACAAAGAATACTGAATAGTTACGTAATATCAGTCCTTCTCTATGTCAGTTAATGCTGGATAATCTCCACACAGATGAAGAAGTGATTTGAAGCCACAGGAATGTGGTTCTACAGAAGGATGCTGAGAATACCATGTAGCAACGACGAAGTTCGGGACACAATGATAAGAAAAAGGACATTTATATCTAACAGCAAGAAGAGACAGTTGAAAATTTCTAGGTCACATAATGAGGGTTTGGAAAATTTGATACGCACAGGCAACAGGGATAGAGGCCAAACAACGCATAACCTACCCTGGTGAGCTTTAGTGATTGGATAACGGAACAGGGTTGCGGAGACAAAATTTATTAAGAGCTACAAAGAACAGGAAATTGTGGAGAGTAATTAGCTCTTGTACGGTAACTGTGGCAGCGAAATCCGAAGTATTAAGAAACGGAAACATTTCGTTAGAAACAAAGACTGAACTGTTACGTCATATCAGTCCTCCTGTACGAATACTGAAGTTAAACAACCTTCAACCTGGTCAGTAACTAAATGAGTGACCGTTTGGGAATGCCAGGTGCCATAAGCTTATATGTGCGGTTGGTATGATGGGCTTACGGTTCTTGTAAGATTACCGAAGTTAAGCAACGTCGAGCCTGGTCAGTGACCGCTTGGGAATACCCGATGCTATAAGCTTGTATGTGCGGGTAGTATCATACGCTTACGGACATATCACGTAGAAACACCGGTTCCCGTACGATCGCTGAAGTTAAGCAATGTCGAGCCTAGTCAGTATCTAAATGGGTGACCGCTTAGGAATACCAGCTATTGTAAGTTTGTATGCAGGGGTGGTATAATGGTTTGGAATTAGAGATCGATGAGCCGAGTTTTAATTTCAGTCAATATATTCACTTACGCACAAATGCCTTTGGAAAAGGCATGAATCCACTTTCCCATACCCCTTTTTATAGGTTATAGTAAGACTTGTATCAGTAAATCATTATTACTGACAAAATTTTCTTTCAATATAAAAATATTCTCTGTCTTTAAATGATATACAAAAGGTCGATAATCTGTAAAAAAAATTGTTGCGTGCGAATTTTTGCATCAATTTTTTCGTTTTATAGTTCTTTATTGTTATCTGTCTATATTTCTGAGATGAGGTATTATGTACATTATTTACATTATTCGGACTATTGTCCTCATCTTTGTCGCCATATTTATCACAACGTTTTGGCCGTTGTATGTTCCGGCCTTCTTCAGGTGGTTGGAATTTCGAACTGAACCCTTTATTTCGCTCATTGGGGTAGACTGTTCTAGTTCCACGTGCCATGTTTAATGGATGTCAGTTATCAGTTATCTCCTGTTAATTCCCCTCTGAAAGTTCTCCACTGCCTTAACCGGGTATTGAACTCTCACTCTTTGGGTCTCTGGATCTAACCAACGCCTTTATCCACTGTGCCATGTGTGCTTGTGAGCGAAACAAAGGGTTCAGTTCGACATTCCAACCACCTGAAGAAGGCCGGAATAATGTAAACAGTGTTCTTTTTTGTTTTCAAATATTATTATATTAAGTGGTAGTTTTGTATAGTGTTTGATTTTTAATTATATCAACACAAATAAGGCCTGTAAGATGCAAGAAGATCACATAGAGCAAAGTTCATCAGCACAATGACAATGCTAATATTTATTAAAAAAAAAAAAAGCCCCGGGAAGATACGTTAGGGCAAGTGAGTGAAGCTGAGATGCCAGGTTAGGACAAGATTCTTTGGATTTTATAAAGACTTTCTAAATATATAGCAGGAGTACCATACCAGATGTTGTAACAATATTTAAAGCAAGTACGAATGGTGGACTTAGAAATCCGTAAAGCAGATTCTGGCGAGAAGAATTGTTTTGTCCAACACAGTAAAACAACTTTACTAGCAGCAGACTTAAAAATGGATTCAATATAATCTTTCCACTTCATGTCATAGCTGGCATAGATATAAGAAGGTACTTTTGTAGTTTTTACTTACTATCTTTAGCTTTTGTATGCCTCGCAGTATGAATAAGAGAATAGTAAATTATAGTGACTTTATGTTTTCTGTGACTATTCCAAGATCTTCATACCAAAATTTCAGCGTACTATGTTATTAAACTAATTGTAGCTGTGGAAATTTCATGTTTTCCTATTGGAATTTTTCTGATAAATTATAATTCTTACGTTAATGATTGGATAAATTCCTTGCGAGTTCACTTAGAAACACCCCATTGCAAGGTTAAGTATTTAAGCTTAACAGCTTTAACAAAACGTTGGCAATCATAAACATGAATGCAAGTCCTTATTTAACGAAGTAAGTGGGTACAAATGAAAAGATTAAAGTTTGACGAGACGTTAAAGGCATGAAAACATTATTACATTTCCTCTCTTCCCTTTCTTTATTTCTTATGTATATTTATTTCTTTTTTTCAATAAAACCAAATAGCCTCTCTTACCTATATTTTCTCTTGATTCTTTTCTCGGAAATGAAACGGAATGGTCCATTATTTATCTGAAGCAATGACAGCGCCTAATGCACGTGTTAGCTTACAAACTATCAACGGAAAAAGCATAGTTATTGTATAGATATTTAAGTAAAACTATTTACATTGTTCGGGCTGTTGGCCTCATCATTGTTGCCATATTCGCGACGTTTCTGCTGTTGTACCCCTCCGGCCTTCTTCAGGTAATTGGTATTTCGAACTGAAGTTTTTTTCCGTCCGCCGAGATAGATTGCTCTAGTTACACGTGCCACGCCTCTTTCGTATATCTCAGTCATCTCCCTTTAACACAACTCGCCAAGTCTTTGTTCACCACTGCAGTAGCCAGATATTGAACTCACAAATCTTTGGATCAGCAAGTGGATTACAACTAACGCTTTTATCCACTGGACCATATGTCTTATAGACAGATATAATATTGTTATTGTTATTCTTGGAGCATGTTTGTTTGTTGCTTAGTCGATTGTAATATAAATGCTAAAGTGTTTTGAAAATAAATTATTAATATTATTTCATAAATTTTATTGACATTTTGTTCCTGAAAATTAAAAAATAACTGAATATATATATTTTGGGAAAATTACCGAACGATGTTTTTTTTTTCTTTCTTAACAGAAAATGTCTTTCTTTTTTAATTTTCTTTAGCATAATTATTATCGCAGAATAAGTTTAACCATTTGAAAATTCCAAACCGCAGGTTTCACACTAAACAGGCAAGTTGAGAAACGACAGACATCTTGATAAACATTCGCTGATTCGAGTTTGCAAAGAATTTACAAAAATAAAAAAGGAACGAAAAAAATCACATCGCAATCTAGAATTGTCGTCAACTGGTTAAAACATGATCGGAAATCCTGTTTAGAATGTAAAAGAATGAAAACAAAAGAAAGAAATCGCTGATCTTGTCGAGAATAAAGCGTGGAGTGAAGACAATGACAAATTTAGCCGGCATTAAACATATGGCCGCATTTGATCGAAAAGCGAAACACTTCTGAACACAATGGCGTTCTGTTTATAATGATACACACAAAACGTCCGGCTGGCGATACACACATCCGACAGATGACCGACAAGCAGCATAAACCTTGATCTGGTCTGGATTGCTTCGACCCTGAAACAATTTACAGAACCAATTTTAAGAAGACTTTCTCCACCATTCTTGTTTCGATAAACACACACGAGTGTATACAGAAAAGAAAACAAGGAAGATAAATCTTTTGATAAGGTTTATTCTGTTAGTATTCTTTTTTTATGGGCCGTGCTCCTTAAGGACGTTGAAGATCATGGCTCTCTCCAATTTCCTGCCCTTTGTAGCTCTTAAAAAAATTGACTTTTTGATATCTCTCCTAAAATTTATCCCGCCATCTATTTTCTCATTCCCGTTCGGTAGGTTATTTTCCTCTGTCTCTCTTGCCTTCAATTTGTCCTGTGAGTGTCAGATTTTCTAAGTCCTCTTTCCTCATTATGTGTCCTAGAAACTGTCTCTTTCTGATGCGACGTGCAAGTGTCCGTTCACTCTAAAACTTCTTCGCTGTTCACATGTTCGGTCCATGGTATTCTCAGCATCCTTCTGTAGAATCACATTTTTGCTATTTCAAGCCTCTTCTTCATCTTTGAAAAGTCTGAATTCCTTGTTTTAATTCCTAACACTAACAATCTATTTCTTCCTGATTTTCAATGCTTAACTCTTCAATATACAGGGTGTCCCTAAAGTTCGTGTGCACTTTAAAAAATTTATAACTTCATTTGTATTTGCGATAGAAATAATCTGTAAAAAAATGTTATAAAGTTTAATGTACCTAGTTTTAAGTATAGCTAAAATAACTCATGTGATTTCAGGCATTACTGTAAATCAGTTGGCAAATGTTTTCCGTGAAGTGGAAAATCGTATTACCCTATGTATTGCTAATGATAGAGGACATGTGGAAACTTAAATAAAATTTTAATAAAACCTTCAAAAATATAGATTTACTTCTTTCTAATCCTTTTTACAAATTATTTTTATCGCAAATAAAGTTATACATTTTTTAAAGTGCACACGAACTTTATGACCCCTGTATTTCTCTAAGCAAAGCATTAGCAATGTACTTTCGGCAAACTTGGACCATTGTTCCCGTTAAAGAAACAAAAACAGAAGTGTGAAAAAGATTTTTTTCACTTGACCCCTTCACTCCTCGACAATGTTTATTGTTTTAAAAAGCGATGATTAGAATTGTAATAAACTCTAAACCTATGATAAAAGTGAATTTATTTTTTGTTCTTGAGAATTATTAAGGCTTCCATTATTTTAAATGTTTTTTTACATACGGATGAGGTTATTATGCTTGTATTTTCTACTAGTATGTTTTGGATGGAATATGGTTAGTTTGTGCGTAAATGGGTGCTGATGGATCTGTCGTCGGATAGGTGTAACGTAAGTCGTCTGGATAGGCATGTAATAGTGTGACCGATGTAATTATTTATGAGTTTGGTTTGATCAGGAACACAGTTCCTTAATGGGCATTTGAACTCAAAATGTACAGTTCTACACACTATGTGTCCAGAACAGAAAACACTTGTTCTAACACAAGAAAAATTAAATAAAAAGCTTAATACCAGTAACTTGTCTATTTTCTTTAATGAAACGCGTATAAATGAGGGATTTGCCTAAATACACAATATATATATATATATATATATATATATATATATATATATATATATATATATATATATATATATATATATATATTACCTTAAGATAAATATATTTTTTGTTTAATACAATGTCTTATCCGAATGTAGATGATAATTTCTCTCAACGGTTTCTTGTTATTTATCTTCCTCGAATGGTCATGATTCTACGTTTTCCTTTTCTTATAATGAACCCCATTCAAGTTTACAGAGCCGCGTCATCCTTGATATTTAACCTATAGTTGAAGATGGAGTCACGCCTTTTCCAAGGGCGTTAGTGCGAAATAAATGCATAAATAAATTGTACGCATCATTACAAAAAATACGAACTTGAATTTCTTTTTCTGTCCCATGTCCGTTTAGGACGTGGGCGGTCACTCTGTTGTTTTTAACTGCTTTTTTTATATCCTACCCAGTTCATGTTTTGGCATTCATTGGCATAAGATAATTTAGTAAGTTACACGTTTTCCCTCGTTGGCATACAGCCATACCACAACGATACACCAGTTCCCGCACGATCGCTGAAGTCAAGCAACGTTGAAACTGGACAGTACCTAAATGGGTGACCGTTTCAGAATAACAGATGCGGCAAGCTTTAAAAGCTTAGATCACTAGTTACCAAACTTTTTTTCTGGGCT